ATTAATTGCTGTGTTATTATGTATAAGTGAAATATACGTATCTCTAAAGCCAAGCCAGTGCTGGTAGTTCCCGTCGAAGTGTGGCAGGTCGATTTTAGGCAGGCGCACAAGGTCATGTCCGCTTGACCCTTGCCCAGTGCCGGACTCGGACCCACCATGAGCGCCGCTGGACTGCACACTTGGGCTTAACAAGTTTCGAGCAACAGAAATCAATGTAAAAAATTGGCTTTCGAAATGCTCCCTTTCTGTATATGCCTCGTCGGGTTGCACCGATAACGCTTCGATCTCCCCCTGCAAAGCGTCAAACTCTGAGTACACGACTTCGATTTTATCTAAACGGCACTGCATCTCCGTAATTTGCAACTCACTTAACTTTTCACAAGTTTTAGCTACACTGATGTAATTGTTAAACTGTGTTAATTTCGCTTTCAAACTTCCACGTTTCTTAATCAACTCTTTTAACTGTGCATCGGCCATTTTATTATGCACGGGTGATCGTTGAACAAAAGAATGCGACCGGTGACGAGTTAACAATTAACTGAGGCGATACAAAAGAACCGGAATAGATAAGCGGCTAAGCAAGAGGTCGGTTATATTATAGCTATATGTATGAGTATATAGGTTGCGATTACGATGATTCAGCAATTATTTAATTTAATGAAATTTTTTATTTATTATTTAGAAAGCGGAATTAATTAGGTAATTAACTATGTGTATATGAAATTTAAGCTAAGATAATGAGGTATGAATTTGTATTTATTGTGATTTGCGATGACTATGTGAATAAAAAATAAGGCAATTAGGCAGTATTAAGATGATGACGTATGCCTGTTACGTATAGCAATATTCTTAATTCCGTTAGCGACAGGAAATTAAGGAGAAAGAAAGGAATTGGAACGAACTCACTTTGTCAAGTGCTGTTGGTGCAGTCTATGTGATGTTCTTATAAGCTGATGATGGTGGTAGATATCCAACGAACGTCCTCCAATGCCAGTGAACGCTGGGAATCCTTGTTTTGTTGTCTGCTGAGTGTTCTTCCTATGGCGAAGAGACTGAAAACAGCTACCGACGAAAATTTCTAGAAAGTTCAAAGTCCACTTCTATGACGATTCGATTACTTTCCAACGAACGTCCACCAAATGCCGGTGAACGCTGGGATTTCTTGTTTTGTCGTCCGCAGAGTGTTCTTCCTATGGCGAAGATGCTGATTGACGCTGACCGACGACAATTTGTAGAAAGTAGAAACTCCACTTCTATGACGATTCGATGATGGCGAAGTCTACTCCTGTTCTTGAAACTCGAAGGACCATATGTAGCCGCCAGACCCAAAATAGTTGACGATCAGGAGCTCGACGACTCGTAAAATCAAAGACGATTGTAGTTGACTGTGTTATATTTTAAATAGGTGACTGGTTAATTACAGGAGTAGTGCCGTTAGATCGATACAGTGATAGTTTCCGAAGGGGTACAGTTTTAAAAGTGAACGGTCCTTTTTACCTTTTTAGTTGCGTACAAAATTCGTTACAAATGTGGTAGGGATGAAAAATACATATGTGGTGTTACTCGATTGGTTCAAAATAGGCCTACGTAATGTGCCCTGACGAGCAGCGTTTTGTTACTGCTTTGGAAATTAAGTTAAAATTACAAAAATTGTTGCGTTCGCAACACACGACAAGGAAGTTCCAAACTAAAACGTCAATTGTTGAAACTCGACGACTAGTTCTGAAAACTAAACTTGCGAATAACTTATACGACTATAATATTTAACATTTTCTAAAAGCTATTGTCGGATAATAATTATCCCCTGTTTACGCTCAAAGCACACATATACATCCGATCTAGGAAAAAAAAAATTACGCCCACGAAAAAAATTGGGAGCCTATACGTTATGTCCTGTATGTCTAGACTGCAGATTCCTTGACCTTCGTGTACGAGAGGCCTGCACACCGGTTTTCATGGTGTCACCATCAAAACCGATGTACCTACATCATCTCTAAGGACCCGGGTTCGAACCCCGGTCAGATCAACGTAGAAAACTAACTTTTCTACATGCTCTCTGGTCTGGTTGTTTGTAGTACCGTTATTGTTTCCGATTTCCATAACATATGTGATAGTTACTTACTTTGGGAACAGAGCAACGTATGTAGTGTGTAATATTTATTTAATTTATTTTTGCCTTTCAACAGTACTACTCACCCAGCAATCAGGTAACTCAAGAGGAGACTTCGCTGCAAGCGACCTTCACGCAAGTCTGATCCTCGCCACGGGACTGCGGTACCGTGCGCCGTTTGTCCCACACCAGGCAGCTGTCCAGATCCATTGATCTATTCCAACTGTAAACCATCATTTGCAAGATGGAGGGAAATGTGAGCAAGTAGGCTAGCTTGATAAAATGCCTTCCCTGTTTATAAAATTATGTTGTCCTATTCTACAACGTTATGACTTTCCACTTTACTTTTTACTTTATTCATTATTATCCTTGTCTTTAAAACTTTTATTTACTCATTTAATAATCAGTTTCTCCTAAATCAAGCTGAATGATAGATCATAGCACGAAAATACCAGAAAGTTACAATCTAGAGCAGGACGTTAGATGGCATCTTATAATATTGCCGTAATCATTATAATATTTAGTCTTGTGTTCCATTTCCATTATATGTGTAGCAATATATTCACAAATAGAGAACTCGTTCTTCCAGACCTTCTCCGAATGTTAAGCACATTTCCGCAGGTTTGTCGATTTTTTAACACCTCAGTTACCTAGTAGATGAATATCAGGGTCTAATATAATTATGCGTTAAGTAAATAAACTTTTTCAATTAGAAGATAAATTTTTAAGCTCCGAAATCTAAATCTTTTTTAAATTAACCACTGAAACGAGACGATGGTTTCATCACAAATGTAAGTTCTTATTAAATTTTTAAGATCTTTGGTGATTCTTGTGTAACTCTATTTGTGCTTTGATTTTCCCCGGATCTGCACAGAGCTGTCAATTCCCAAAATCAGTGTCTATTTACATACAAAACTTATTTAGGAGTTCAAGATATTCATAAATACATGTATATCCGTAATTTCAATGTTTAATTAACTGTTCTTAGCGGAAGTTGTTTGAGCAACTTTTTCGTAAAATGATTATCAATTGAAGTAAATACTATAATTCTAAATAATACTATTATAGCAAGTAATAAATCCGTATTTTGCGTGTTCGTAAATATAATTGACTTTTATCATCCGGCAATACTAAATTCAAGGGTCTGTTTGATTCCTTGACTCCAATATACTGTTTTGAACGATTGACACAGTCTGAAATCCTAGAGATACTTGTATACCTAGTTTACGGCCTCGATGAATTTAATATTAATACTTTTTAATTTGAAATTTAGTTTAGAGTTTTTGATTTTCGACCTCGACCGATTACACGATCTTCTCTCCTAGTGAAAGTTCTGAAGTTCTAATGAGAAATTTTATCTTGGCCGTACAAAGCTCGCAAGATAGTCTTAAACTAGGGAATTCCTTGTACTACTACTCTCGGGTATTTCCTAGAAACCGACCAGAGCCAATTCAGAAAAGTTTATTTCCCAAATTGGGCCTACCGGGAATCGAATCCTCAGCATTCCGTGCTTACAGTGTAAACGGTCAGGCCACTGATGTCGTCAAAATTTCATTACTTAAGTAATTTTAGTAATTAAGGTTCACAACTTACTGTTCATAATTACCATATTTTATATTGATTGTATCCGAAGCCATAGTATGTAAAATTTTTTCATCACACTTGCTCGTAAACAGTATCATGACATGCAGGCAAAGTCGACCGTAATATCCTAAATTATGCACACGGGCTTTTTCACTACATTATCGCCCTATTGACTTTTCGACGTCAAGATTAAGCAAAAAGTTTTTATGCTCGAAAAATCTGAACGTATATTTCGCATAAACTTGAAGTATATAAAAAAAAATTTTTTAACAATTTAACTACATTTTACTAAATTTATTTTGTTAATTTAATTTGTGCAGTATTTTTAGGTTTTGGAAATTATTTATTTTATATCTAACATTATGGTTACATGCGTCTGTACCTTTTATAACATTTTAGTTCGAGTTGTATTATCTATGGGAGAATAGTTCGCAATCTGGATATTTATAGACAAGAAATAAATTATCGTTATATCTATGTCCTCGCAAATGTGATGAAAAACATTGTATATAACAGGAGCGGTAAAAATTTCAAACTAGAGTCATTAAAGCTCTCAGCCTTCGACTTCGGGCTTCTAACAATCTCTCGTTAGTAATTTCTTATTTACCGCCCTTAATACACAATGTACGGACAACGGCACACCAGATTACATATTTTTGTTCGAAAATCGCCAACAGTGCAACGAAACAAGATACATCAATGTGTAGCTTGATGTGCTGGCGTGTGTACAATAATTATGTTCAGCTGTGCCTATCGTTTTGTGCCACCCAGTATAACAGCAACATTATATACAACAGCTTCCACTCGTATTCTTTTTGTTTATCAGATGAGTTTTATAAAATTATCCCTAACTTATATGCCGTATAACTTGCCTGTTTTGTTTAATATACATCTTTTATTAATAGTTCAGTCATAGGTAAGCTTTAGACGTAAGGTAAAATGCCAAAGGCAAAAATTACTTGTAATTAACCATATCAACCAAAACATTTATTAACACACGTTGTCGCTTACTTACTATATCGTAGGTAGCTAATAATATTATTTCTGTACGTTATTGCGTTTGCTTCTTCTTATTACGTTACTTATTGTACAAACGGCAGCATATCAAGCTACAAATCGATGGATTTTGTTCTGTTTCCATGGAGTCGAAATTCGAACAAAATTGTGTAGCTTGATGTGCTATAGACTGTACGAGAACAAGAAGTGTTGAAAGAACATCCATAAACTCTATTAATTGCAATTCATTTTTTTTACGCGCTGTTTTAAAAAGGCTAATCTTACGCGCTTTAAAATGAACAATGTACATTGCTCTTAATACAATCTAATAATAATAACAAATGTAGGTTATATTAGTTGTAAAATAAATTGGAAGTGACAAGCGGACTTCCAAAAATACGGGCTCCGCGTAATGGAAGCGAAATATTAAATAATTAATTAATTGTGCCAAAGATTGTTCAACAGGAAGTGTAAATTAAGGGTGATTGGAAGGCTTAGAAAAACTAGTGTAGGAAAGATATAGAAGAAGAATAAATTTCGTAGATAGAAAAGTTCAGCAGAGTCATCAGACTGGCTGATCATTGAAAGGTCCGCATTCCACAACCGCGTGGTTAAAGGTGACGCTAACTACGCGCACAATTTTTTAAACCTTAATTTCGGCCATTTTAAAAGGCAATTTAACCATCTTTTGAAATAATATAATAAAGAAACTCCAGAATAGCATTTTATTTACTACAAATAAACCAAGTGTAGGTTTTTATGGTTAGGTAATCACGTATGGAATGGCGCCAGATTTTATCGAGCGACCAGAACTCGGGAAAGTTCATGTTTTATCGTAAGTGAAATTTTGTAAATGTGTCGTGCGGTTATATCCGTCCGTCAGTGTAAGTCTGAGCTCTCTTACCGACACGGTAAAAAGGCATTTTAATGGAAAATATTAAAATTTTAAATACAGTGGGGCTTGGTGGCCTAATTTGTGCTGCCAAACCGTAGAGCTAAACGCTAATTTAAATTATATACGCAACCCCGGAAACGGTCACTCACTCACACTGCGAGCATAATTTAATATAAGACGAGTATTGGAACTCCATACAAACGGAAGTGCGCGGCTTATATGTGTGCTCGCCCAGCGCGCGATGCTCTTGCGTTGCGTGACACTGGTCGTCCCAACACGTCTTTCATTATTATGTGAATGTGTGCGTCTATACACGACGCGCTGCGGTCACTCACGTATACAAGCTGCACAGAGTTTGTACAGAGTTACCATACTTCTCTTATTTTTCTCTGCTGACTGTACACCGTTTCTTAAATGAACAAAAGTTAATCTTATTTCGCATGTTTAAACGTTATTCTTCAAATGACTGATTTACATAATTGTTTCATTATACCGATATTAACTAGTCGTTAGGTTTAAGATATATTTGAATATGTTATCTTTAATATTATTCAATGTCTAAACCGATTATCTAGTAGAATTCATAACAATGTATCAGGTTATCATAGTTTAAACAGTAATCATAAACGTTAATATATCTAAGCATGATCTAACTTGTGTCTTCATTCACTGATATGGTAAAATTACCTGAACAACGTACGTAGAAATGTCTGTTATTGTAATCCCTAATGAAATAAAAATAAATAAAATTTCAATACTGGTGTTTCATTTACATACCTATCATTATTGCGCGTGTGCAGTCAAATACTTACACGTGCCTTAATGCAAATTCCATTTAATGAAAATATTCACAGAAATCAAATATAGTTTGCATAATATAGCTATATTATGCGAACTAAATAATAAGCTATAATTCGTGCAAGGAAATTTGATGTCTAAAATATTAGGATAACATTAATGTTTTGTGAACATTATTTGATTGTAATTTTGCTAAATGTATACATGTTAATGCAGACCACTGTACTTCCTTAATTTTTATAATGTATTCAAAACACTTGATCACGTTTGCTTTAAAAATAAAATATTGAAATTATTTCTTAAAAACAAGGAGTTTCTAGTTTAGTATATTATCATATATTGTCGCTGTACTTTCTCAAACTCGTATCACATTTCCTTCATGTTCAGACACTGGCTTGTATCTATTCTTTATGTAAAATATCCAAATTAACAACCTTGATAATAAATTTAAGATAAATAGAAAGTTTTGCCATCCCCGAATAATCACTCTTTATAAGATACGAGTTTGAGAAAGTAAGGCATCGATATTACCATAAAAGATGATTCACGTTAGCGCCCAGTTACACGAGGCGAAAGATTCCGCGCGGTCGTCGCGCGGCGACCGCCCAGTTACAGCGCCTTCATGTATATTAATGGCGAATCTGAATTCTATTTACTAGCCAGCAACATTTAAATTCCTTTGACCAAGACACGGTGGAACCTACATAGCACGGACACGGCCCGGCCGCGATCACTGCACATGGTAACGTGAATCATTCTTAATTCTTCACGTACGTTCTTTTCGGGATGTGTTGAACGAAATCTTTTTAGTTTGTATCAGTAAAAAAATTATATTACTGAGCTTTTTGCTCAGTTCAATTTATTATTAACAATTTATTTCTAAAATTCAACAATCTTTCATCTGGCTTAGGAAGTACAGTCCAAAGTGGTTTTGCGATGACGCCGCGCCGGTATCCTTTCCGACCACATCGCAAAACCACTGTGGTATGTTACGCATCCATATCGATCAGCCCTATTTCAATAATATTTTTTTTAGTTCTTATTAATTTTTTGCAGAAACTATTTCGCTTGATGACGTAAGCAGAAGTAAGCGACTAGGCTCTAAAATGCAACAAAAAAAGAAAAAGCAAAGAGATCCGACAAGAGTGACGTTCATGTGTAAAATGAGAGGACATGATCTA